ATGTAAATCAGAGACATCTTTTTTTTTTTTTTGCCCCAGCATGCTAATTTATTACCTGCAGAGCATTGCAAGGTCATTAAAATTTACCAACAACCAACTAAGGATGCAGATCCAGACAGTAAGTGCTGACTAAATGCTCATACCATATTTTTGGTAAGTTTTTTTTAAAAATAAAATTAATTCTTAACAGAAAATAGAATGAATCAATGGGCAGGTGGATGGGTGGGTGGGTGGCAGTGCAGATAACTTCTGTACCCACAAACTTTACTTGAAATTTGAGTGCAATGACTTTTTTTAAACAGAAGTATTATGTAAGGCTGAACTTTTAGTTAATTAATTTGGTATCTATTGTAGGAAAGAACTGAAGACAAGAAAAAAGTGGTCCAGATGGCAGCAGGTGAGCAGAAACATCATTAAGGTACTTGGCATCACTGGACTATGTGTTCAGTCATCTTTTTCTCAAATTGCAATAATGACTGAAAGCAAAAGCAGACATATGAAGCATATGGAGGGGGAAAAACCACCAATCCATATTGAGGCAAATACCTCTTCTAATTCAAGTGAAAGTTTGTAAGCACTAGAAGCTTCTGAATTTCCAAGCAACTCTTCATCAGATAATAACATTTTATCCCACCTTCTTTTACATGTCTACCTTCCATCTTCTGAAGCAGATTGCCTGTATAAGGTTTATTCAAGTGTAATAGTTCCAAGAACATTAGCTTAGCCATGTTTACCTATTGCAGAAAGAACTAGAAGAAGATTGTGACATATTTCAGACTAATACTTAATTACAGAATCAGCTTTTGAGACTCTAGGACTGAACTACAATCCTACTCTGTAGGATTCAAGAATTCTGGGCAACATGTTCTCTGAGGTTTGAATTTAACATTGCACTAAGCCATAATCTGTTACTTTGGTTTTGGCTTATCATGTTGCATAAACCCAGCATTGTGGCTGGCACATTATGGCTTATGGCTTAGGATGATCTGTCAACCCAGCTCCTGGTTCTTTTTCAACACACCATGATTAAAGCAAGCCACATTTTAATGTGATGTGCAAATTCAGCTGGAGGATGCTGGTTGAGTTACTAGGATTGTTCTTTGGCACTCTTATGCATGGATCAAATGTGTGCTGTACTGTTGATCAGTTCCAGTTGATGACTAAAGAAGCTATGATTGGTTTTTCTGAACATTATTTTTAGCTAGAATCCAAACAGTGGAAGGAAATGGCAAGAGGCCCGAACAGGAGAGTGATGTCATCAGTCAGGAATCTTCAGCTCGGTCCTCAACCCCTAGGAAAAATGGCAGTGTAGTAAACTTTGAGTCTCCCAAAGACAGCCAAATACAGACAATATCTCAATCAGTACCAATGCCTGAAATACTGAAAGCAGTGGGTCCATCCCCAGCAAATGATACCCCAGCTGTTCCAACACCTGTAGCTCCAATACCTGTCACTCCAACACCTCCTATTCCTGTGATGGCAAAGCCTAGAACAGAACCTTCCATCAACAGGTAAGACCTTTTCCAGCAACTAGGAGAGAAACTAGAGGTTTACATGGTGTATTTACAAGGCTACATTCATATAATGCAGCTTTGTTCATCCTGGTGTTTTACAATTAGGATGAATTACATTTCCTGTGGCTATGCAGGCTGGGAAATGTGTATTTTGCATATAAGTGACAGATTTATCCTTCAGTATTCAGACTTATGCAGATTTCATGATGCAGTTCTGCAATTAAAAAACAAAAACAGTCCCCTCCCCCGCATATTCATGAAAAGTATATCTAATTAAAGGGAAATGTTATATGCATTTTTCAAGCAATCAAAATTACACACCCGATCACATAGGAGAACTGTGTACATACATTCATGCCTCTTTTTGCAGAAATGGAACTGGGAAAAAAAAAACCTTACAATTTTTTTAAAAAGGGAACTGAAATGGACAGATTCTCCACCCTCAGTTACAGAGGGTAATTAGCACCAAACGGGCTAGTTGTCTTTCAAAAAATATTAATATAAATGACTTCTTCCACTTTCTGCCAAAATCCACACTACAGAAAGGAAGAATACATTTTAAAAAGCCAGTGCAGGAGAGCAAAATCATAAGATTAGGAGCTCTCGATCTCAATAAGCCGCTATGGACTTCTGCATTTAGCCATTCTGGCCCTTTCCTCCTTTCTTCAGATACCCGAATACTATCCACGGGAGTGCTAGTGAACTCTGCAAAGCCAAAGTGTATACTCCTGTCAAGCTGAAGAAACACGTGGAAGATGCTCATTCAGAACCCTTGTTCAGGAAGAGCCTCCAGCAAGTCAAGCCGGAGTCTCACGGGGCCCCCGGCGGCCCCCCTTTTGTGGGCCGCAGAGCTCACACAGCCAAATACTATGTTGTCAATGAGCAGGAACCCCGCAAAAAAATCCTCCGTGCAACGACTCGGCTGCCCAGGAACGTCCGAATGGAGGAGGCAGGTGACATCATAGAGTTGTATCCACGGCACATCAGAAGGTATGTGGTTCGAACGCCCCGCAGGGCATACTCGCCTCGTTACATTGAGGAGGATGAAGAAGAGTTAAGGAGAGGTATTGCTAAGCAGTCTCACCGTCCACGGTCCCTGTCTGATCTTCGAGCTCCCCCTCGCTTCTACATTGGGGAGTGGGCTGACAATCAAATTCTTACAAGCAGAGCTCTAGCGAAAATGCACTACAAATCTTGGGAAGATGGTTTTGGTTTAACTTATGACAGGCCCCCCCACCCCCACAGAAAGATACATTTGAAGAATATTGAATTTGACCAGCACTATCCAGAACACCATGGAAAGGCCAAACCCAAGCCACCACCATCCCCAACGGAGTCTGATTCCATTTCTCCTGAATCAAGCAGTGATCAACCCACTAGTGGCAATGATCAGTACATCCAAGTCCTTCCAAGCAAAGAGAAGTATCCGAAATCTGGAGGAAAAGGAACTCCCCAAAAATCAAAGTCTGGTGTTGAGCTGAACCTGGCCGAAATGAATGACCTGATATGCTCAAATGTCTAAAGTGGGGAGAAAAGACTACAACATTCTGGAATTGTAAATGGAGGTACACTCAGAGCTCTGTTGGGTGCCCCAAATTCCCAGATGCTTCTGCCTTGCTTAAACATTAATTGCTACATTCCACTTGAGGATGAATGTTGGTTAGCTCATTCTAAGCTCTCTCTACTTGCTTATTCTTGGCTGAATCATATTTGCTCTAAAATTATACTGCAGTAAATGACCATTTTCCAGTAGTAATGTATGGCTGTGAGAGCTGGACCATAAAAAAGGCCGAGCGCCGAAGAATTGATGCCTTTGAACTGTGGTGCTGGAGAAGACTCTTGAGAGTCCCCTGGACTGCTAGGAGGTCAAACCAGTCAATCTTAAAGGAAATCAACCCTGATTGCTCATTAAAGCCCCTGATGCTGGGAAATATTGAAGGCAAAAGGAGAAGAGGATGGCAGAGGATGAGATGGTTAGATAGCATCAATGAAGCAATGAGCATGAAACTGAGCAAACTCAGGGAGGCAGTGAAGGACAGGAAGGCCTGGCGCAATATGGTTCATGGGGTCACGAAGAGTCGGACACGACTTAACGACTAAACAACAAAAATGACCATTTAAAATCATCTTTAACAAGCATATAGGAGAAGCTGATCCCACACTACGGTATGAATCTTGGTGCATTTAAGTAACGGATCCTGGCATCAGCAGGCCAGCTTCCCAGAACGGGCTGTTATCTCTGTGGTTCAGTTACACTACTCTGCTCACCCCAGACATTAAATAAAATATTAACTAGCAATAGTTTGCACATGGTTGAATAATCAACTTTGGTTTTTTTTGGGGGGGGGGGGTTGCAAATCTCATTGTAATTTTTTTTTTTTTAACCCACTGCTTCCTTCTTCCTTCTCGAAAGAGGAAAAAAACAGTTAAGGATGGAAGGATGGGTAAAGCCCTGAAGGTATCTGTAGACCTTTTGCTAAAAACATTTTTTGCTGCTGCTGTTGTTTTGCATAGCAGGAATAATGCAGCTTAGAACCGCATTGTAAAATGGGCCGCCTTCATTTAAAGGGCTGTTTTTTATTCCTGAATTGAATCCGTGCCCTATTCTTCCTTCCCATAGAAAATTTCCATCATTTAAGGCTCACTGTCACAAAGGACTCGTTTCTTTAAGTTTAGCTTGGGCAACCCAACTGACAAGCGAAACCACATTAGTTCTGTCCAGATGATACAAACCACCATTTGTAATAAGCTAGGATGTTGTCAAGCTTTGGCACGTAGAAATGACCTTTTTCTCCTCCCCTCCATCTCTGTCGAGTCAGCTCTTGAGCAAGCGCAGAGTGCTTTGCTTTCATACAGGTGATGCTTCTTCCACAATCGTGGTTTCAGCCCCTGGGATTACTCTCTCAAACAGCAGTTCAATGCACATTCACCCAATGCATTTTGAAATCTAGACCTCTAGACGGAAATTTTAGAAAACTGCCTCTGGACAAAGACTCCCTTCCAATGGACAGTCCCGTCACCGTGCCCAGTGATCCACAATGGCAGGAGTTGGGATCAGAAACATCTGGAGGGCGCTCAGTGGACTCTCCCTGCCTTTCTCGTGGTTCTGCAGCCAGCAAGAAAGGCATCGGGGGCGGGAGGGGGAGCTCTAACCTAACTCGCCTTTCAAAGTTGTTGTGAAACCAGGACCTGAGGAAAGCGCAGCTCCCTCCGTAACTCCGGCACATCCGACGCACCAGGCTGGCCGCGGGGAGCCAGCAACATCTGCTGGTAGGAGCGCCACGCCCTGGCTGGCAGTAGTTCTCATCCTGTGGGGTGGGCCATTCCCAACTGAGCCCTCCATTCTCACCAGCCGTCCCGAGGGCCCGGGTTGGGAGAAGCGGGAGGCGGCGCCGCGCTAGCTCCTCCGGGCAAGGATGGCGCGGCTCTGCAGGGAGGCTCGGCCCCTTTTCTGGGCTGGCCGGAGCAGGTGCTCCTTCCCTTCCCTTCCTCTTCCTCCTCCTCCTCCTCCTCCACCGCCGCCGCGCCAGCCTTCCTCGGCCGGCAGGGAACGCGTCACCGTCGCTCGCCATGGAGTATCAGGAGGCTGCGCAATGGGCCGCCCTGCACCTGGAGAACTATCGGAAGGACCCCAGCGGCTGGAGCCTCTGTAAGCAAACGGTAAGCCGGGGGGACCCGCGAGAACCAGCTGACGACCAACGCGACGCGTCCCTCTCGCCCTCAAGGCGCAGGGGGAAGTCCGGGGACGGCTATGTCGCTTTGGACCGCAGGCAGGAGATACGCGGTGGAGGGCTCTCCCATCTGCAAAGGACCCAACCATACCTCCTTGGAAGCTGAAAACTCTTCTGCTGGCTTTGCTACATTTTCATTTGCGGGGGGACCTTTTTTTTTTTTTTTGGGTAGGGGAGGCGTAAAAACCTCCCGCTTACCTGGCCTGCGATCTGAAGCGGTGCAGCGATCCCCTCTCGCTTCCGCCGCGTCTCCTTTTCTGCTGTGAATGTTTCCCCGTCAGGTTTGGAAGGGGAAATCTGACAAGCTGGAGCTTCGTGGATTTAAACGGATTCTAGCCTGTCGTTTACCAACTCTCCCGTTTTTGAGTTTGGGGGAGTTTGCGGGGGGCAGTGTTTATGGAGGGAAGGGAACAAGGATGTTCTTATTCCAGAGTGGTTAGAGATTCCCGTGACGGTACAGGGAACCAAGGCACCAAGGTATTCAATTAAAAATCCTTACTGAGATCGATTGAGGCAGTTGGGGAAATCATTGAGAAGGAATAGTTGCATAGTCAATAACACACGTACTTTCCAGTCACCAAATACAGTATCCCTTCCCTGCTGTCAGTATATGAAGCTAGATGAACAAACAGCCTGACCCTGATCGACATTGGTGCATCTTTCCTTTTGCTCTAGCAATTTGGGCAAAAATTAAAGGCTCCTTTTCTTTTTTTTGTATTTGCCCTGGAAGCTACATGGATGCATCCAGGAAGTCCCAAGGAGTCAAGCATGGCTCAAAAGAAACTTGATTTTGTATATATGCAATTAGATGTTTTGTAAAAACAAAGGAAGGTTGAGGGGCTGGGTCAGTAAAACATAGACTGGATTTCAGAAAGAGACAGTCATAGAATCAGTGCATCCAACGTGTGACATCCAGAGAAGAGATTTTAAGCATGTTTAATTTGGGACATAGGGATGGTGAGGAAGAAGCCTCTGTTTTTCCATCTGTAAGGCTTCGGAGGGGACCCATTTCCCTCCACCTTCCTTTCCTCCAGGTTGTTTCTTTCTATCTACTCCTGTACAGAAAGGTAGCCCAGGAGCATAACAACCACTGCATAGCTTGGAAGAGGAGGAGGGATTGTGAAAGTCACCCCCAGACCATCATTGGTCTACGTGAAAACTTATTAAAGCACAGTGGAGATTGTTGGGAAGTGGAAGAGAGGCTTCTGCAATGAATAGAACCTTATTTCTGATTAGCTCAGCCCCGTAAGTCACAGTTTCAATGCTAGGATTTCCAAGGAATAATCAGAATCGGACTTTGTGGAGTTGCCCCCCCCCCCATCTTCATGTTCTTCTAGAAACATCCCAGTATTGCTTATTTTTTAACTTTTTTGGGGTCTGTGTGCCTTCAAGTCAGTTTTTGACTCCTGGCAACTGCCTGGACAAGTCTGTGCAGTTTTCTTGGCAAGGTTTTTCAGAAGTGGTTTGCCCTTGCCTGCTTCCCAGGGCTGAGAGAGAGGGGCTGGCCCAAAGCCACCCAGCTGGCTTTCATGCCTAAGGCAGGACTAGAACTTATGGTCTTCTGGTTTCTAGCCTGATACCCTAACCATTACACCAAACTGGCTCCTGTTTTTACTACTTACATCCCAGCTTTTTGTCTAGGAAGTTAGGTGGTTAACATGACAGATTTCCTCATTTTATCCCCTCGGCAACAATCCTGTGAGGTGGATGCACTGAGATAGAGCGACAGGCCCAAAACCACCCTGCAAGTTTCTATGGCTGAGAATGGGTTTGAAACTTGATCTCTTTGTTTAAAGTTCAGCCCTGTAATTCTTACATTACACATTGCATTCTACTGTCTGGAGGGGCCCCTAATTTGAGCTTGCTCACAAAGATTGTCTGGTTTCCAAATTTTATTGTGTGTGAAATCGGCATAAGAGAGTCAGTATTTAGTATTACAGTCCACAAATGGTGCAAAAAGATATAGAATCTTTTAGCTTCAACAGAACCATCTGGACTGAATCCAGAATTATTCATGTTTAAAAGAAGATCCATTGAAATCAATGGGGCAAGTTCGTCACGGCTAGTGAAAAGTCTATTTGATTTCAGCAAATTTATTTCCTTATTTGACATGAGACAGCCTTGAGGATGTTTCTTGTTGTTTAAGTCTTTTAGCATTACTTCCCTAAAATTTACCCTTAAGATATTCAAAAACAATTAAGGTTGAATAAAACCTCATTCAGATTCAATGGACAACAAAATGCAGCTTATTATGTCTGGTTTTTTTTTTTTAAATGTCTTTCTAGAATAAAGTTTCAATATCCTGGAGACCTTCAACTATATTTCGTGGAAGTCTGTAAGTAAAACTGTAGAAGCAAAACATCACTTAGGTAAAGTGGGGGGATAAACTGTTATCTGAATCACTACTTCTGTCATATTTATTGCTCTTTTTAGTTTTATGCTTTTGAAATTGTGAACCACATAAACAATAGTTGGTGGGTGAAGCATAAAAAGGAGAAGTTTCCAGTAATCGAATGGAAGAAAAGAGAATTCTAACCAAGTAAATGTCCAACACAGGCTTTTTATACATGCTAATCATGGATTTTTTTTAATTTTGTTTTTTCCTTTGGAGAAGAAAGTTTTAAACTTCATGATAAAGAAGACCAATATTATGTATTGTAAGGTATAATACAAACTGCCCTGTGGCCTTGTACAGTTATAAATGTCTCGAAGATATAGAAGTGCCCAAGGAAAGCTTAATTATGACAGAATACAGAACTGTAATGTGCAATTATTTAAGTAAATGAGCATTTTGTTTAGGTAAGATGCTACCTTCTTCCATGTTCTGTATAAAACAAATGAACGCATTTTTCTTGCAAGTTAGAAAGCAGAGAGATCGTTGGATTGAATGCTCTGCCTAAGGTGCTAGCTTACTATAGGCAGAGACACACTCACCCATTTACTAAGGAGCACTCAAAATGCAGTTTGGCTGGAATAGCACCCTTCTGTTTCATTCACTAAGACTTCCTCTCCTTCTTCCTCCCTCTCTCAGGAAGGAGGAGAGGAAGTCTTAGTGAATGAAATAGAAGGGTGCTATTCCAGCCAAACTGCATTTTGAGTGCTCCTTAGTAAATGGGTGAGTGTGTCTCTGCCTATAGTAAGCTAGCACCTTAGGCAGAGCATTCAATGAGTCTGGTTTTGCAGGTAAAATCCTTTCCGCTTTGTATCTTTTGAGGAAGGAGGAGAGGAAGTCTTAGTGAATGAAATAGAAGGGTGCTATTCCAGCCAAACTGCATTTTGAGTGCTCCTTAGTAAATGGGTGAGTGTGTCTCTGCCTATAGTAAGCTAGCACCTTAGGCAGAGCATTCAATTCTCAAAAGATACAAAGCGGAAGGGATTTTACCTGCAAAACCAGACTCAAAATGCAGTTTGGCTGGAATAGCACCCTTCTATTTCATTCACTAAGACTTCCTCTCCTTCTTCCTCCCTCTCTCAAAAGATACAGAGCGGAAGGGATTTTACCTGCAAAACCAGAGGATGTGTTTAAATGTATAAAGCCAGAGACTGGTGGACTTAGAGAAAAATGGGATGAAAATGTGAAGGAGGTAGTAGTGGTTGCATCCATAAACGAAGTAAGTACAACACAGCTTTACTTATTGCCAGAAACAGCTAGGAAAGTAATTTGCTATTGGGAACCAGCATTTGTAGGATAACTGGAGAGAGAAGGAATTCCCATTATATTTTGGGATGGAGGGAATGATAGAAACAAGGTTTCTCTTTGTATTGTGCTAAAACTGTGGTGGTTGACTGGCTGTCCACCGACACTGACACTAGCAAGCTGCAGACACATTGGTTGGGTACGCATAACTATTGTGAAGGAGCTGTGATTACTAACTGGTTATCTGCCGTCGGTGACTTTAGGAGATTTTGTGCATGCAATTTGGGTGTGTTTTTGGTCTGGGCAAGAGTTGTGGTTATCATGATTGTTGACCCGAGCAGCTTGAACCACACTCATTGTAGGAACTAGCCAAACAATAGCTGTGGTCTTAACTGGGCTAGATCCAGCAATTTATGCTACCTTTCATTGCTAAATGCTTTTGAGCTGTAGCCTGGAACAAGATCTGATTCTCTAAAAAGAAAAAAGCAGTGGAATATGCTCAGAAACAATAACCTTTAATCTCTTTGTTAGGTTTTTTTGGGGGGGGGGTGTGAACAGATGTTATTCTTAATAACATGATTAATTTTAAATAGGTGTTTTGTTTATTTAATTATGCTTTTTTATTGATACTTTCATGCTTGGCTTTTGTAAGCTATCTTGAACAGTAATAGAAGCTGTTTTCAGCATTAAGTATGGCCTTCTAAATATGTAGGTCTAAGATTGCAACCTTTTTTTTTTTTTATTCTCACTTTAACCATTTCTTTGTTATATCTTCCATTCTTTTATGTGGAAAGGAAGGAAGGAAGGAAGGAAGGGGGAAATAATAATAATAAAAAGAACTTTTAGTTTCTGACTCCCCCTTTTTATAATTTACTAATTTGCAATATTTGTGGCTGTTCAGGCCCCCTTAAAATCCAGATTGTACGCAGTTATATTTACCATGCAGTCTGATGGGTTGTATATATGGGCCCCATTTTTGCTTAAATTTAGTTAACCTATTGTGTAAGTATACTGTTGCTTTGCCATTGGCACGAAATGAGTCTTAAACATCATTGCCATTTTCGTTTGCAATTTTAGAATGTTTGTGTAGTTAGAACAACTACACCATCAGCTTTTATGAAGATCATCTCTCCAAGGGAGTTCCTAGATGTGGTCCTGATTAAACAGGATGAAGATGGCACAAAAATGACTGCAGGTAAGCCTGTTCAAACATTTGGTGGACTTGTTTTCTCTGGGCTAGCTCACAGGTCTACAGCCAATGTCATCATTCAACTGTGACCACTGCATGACCACCAGGGAATTGAAAAAGTGACCCAAGGCCATTTGAAAATTGTCTTTCTGAGAACCTTGACCTGAGATAGCTTTTGCAGCCAAACCCAACTTTGCTTCCTATGCTGTTATCAAGTGACCAATGTGTCAATTAAAGTCCACCTTCCAAACTTTCCAAGAGAATGGAAAAGGTGAGCAGTAGTAAATTTTTCTTCTCCTTCTGCATGTCTTATTCACTTTGGGAGGGGAAATTAATGGGCGGCTGTGGCAAAGAGAATCAGCAGCGAGCAGGAATAAGTGGCTGATAGACACTATGGGGATGTTCCCTGTGCCCCACGCCATTGCACAAATGATGCAAATTACATAAGTCATGTATGATAACATCATGCTTGATGATGTCACAACACAGGTGACATCACTTGTCCCCACCTGTGGAAATCTTTGAGCAGGTTCCCTGAAGTAGGCCAATCCTTGGCAGGCTCCCTAAGATACCATCCCCACCACCACCACCACCCATTGCTGGATTTGCTTTATTAGAAACATTTCTTGTTTTTCATCAGAAACAGCAAGCATTTGAAACAGTCCTAGAAGGACTCTGATTGGTGTAGAACAGTTGCTCTAATTTTGCCGGTGCCTAATACTTATAAATGCCTCCCCTGTCTCCAAGTGAAACCCCAGTTGATAAAAACTTCATTTTTTATTTTTAATGCTTTTTCCTCACAGCAACCAACGTGGAGCATCCTCTCAGTCCGCCTCAGCCAAATTATGTGAGAGGTCTGAATTTTCCCTGCGGCTGCATCTGCATTCCTGTTCCAGGGTAAGATGTGTGGAAATATTTGATGACACAATCCTGTAGGCCAAGAATACTAGGGTTTTACACACCTGTTGTTGTTGTTGTTGTTGCCAAATTAGAGCTTAGATGACACCTTACATAACATCCCCAGGGGAGTTTGAGGGAGGAATTATTTGCAGAGGATAAGTTAATAGTTATTTAAGATGTTTGTTTTATTGTTTTATTGTATGCCACCCAGAGTCACATTTGTGAGATGGGCAACTGCATAAATTTGATAAAGAATGGAATGGAATGGAATGTCTAGATGTTATAGTTTGCATTAAAAACCATTTGGACAACTTTTTCATATTTTTATTACAAACTCACACGGCTAAGATTCTTACAGTTTGGAAATGAATTAGGGATTCCCCCCCCACTTCAAAATACGGCTTCTGTTTCTTTGAATAGGATGCTCTGGTAGTGCAGAAGCATGCCAACTAGTAGATTAAAGGAAAAAAATAAAATAAATCGAGGAGGGAAAGGAACAGTCCATAAATATTTTGATGATGTCTCCCACCTGGACAATATGCATGAGATAATATTATCATGCAATCCCACAATTACATACTAGTAAACACATCTGAAGCATGTATTAAGTCATGGCATTTGTGTGAGGACAGCATCAGGCCCATGTCATCATTGTGCCCATTATGAAATAAAACAACTTGGGGCTGGGCATGGCCGTTGGCATGTGGAAGTTGTAGAAATATAGAAATATGAAAAGTGTATGGGAGTGATGGGAAAAGAAATATGGCCTGCAAATATGGCTTTTAACTGTTTTCACAACATTTAGGGCAGGGGGTAGAATTTTGAGAATTCTGAGAGTGTGTTGGGTTGCTCTCACAATGGGTGGCAGGAGAAAGGCTGTTCATTCATGGAGGTGATTGCCCATTTGTAAAATGGCTGTAATGGAAAACTTGCCTATCTGCAAAGTAACTGAAATGATGGGAGCAGTAAGTGACAAAATCTTCACCTTAACAAGCCAACATTTAATAGTATGCATAGAGTTTGCTCTATACCATCATCTCCATTTCCCCAATGCTCACTACCACATTTCCAAGCAAAGTACTGGTCCACAGCTACCTATCTTTTATGTTTCTAAGAAGGCCCATTAGATCTAATAAGCGCCTTTTTGAAAATAAAAACGATATTTTGCGGCACGGACAACTTCCATGTTACTATTTCCTTTCGAAGTAAACTGAAAACAAATTTGAAAAGGGCAAAGAATCAGGGGGAAGAAGAACACAGAGACAGTGCAGTGGGGTAGATTGCCACCATTTGTGGTGTCATCCATTGCTAGCTGTCTTTCATCAAAATAAAACCTGGGTATTCAGAGGCAGTGAACCTCTGACTGTCAGTTGTGTGGGGCAGCAGTGTGGAACAAGTGCTTGGTCCATCTCCTATTTGTGAGCTTTCTAAAAGCATCCAGTTTGGGCCATGAAGATTTGCAAGGTGCTGGATTCCATTCCAGTGAGGTTTTCGTTTTTACTGCCTGTCCTCTGAGATATGTCATTGTTATGGTTCTCCAAGTCAACCTTCACTCCTGGAGACCACATGGACAGGTTCATGCGGTTTTCTTGGCAACATTTTTGGAAGTGGTTTCCCAGGACCATCTTCCTGGGGCTGAGTCATACAGCTGGCTTTGTGCCTAAGGGAGGGCTAACAGGTTTCCCTACTCCCACTGCTACACCTGTAACCACTACACCAAACTGGTTCTCATCTGGAGGTGTATACTATTTCTACCTAACTGCTTTCTGTTCTTTTTTTGTTCTTGTTTCCTCTGCAGGGATCCAAGTAAGACCCAGCTGCTCAGTTTTTTTCAGACTGATCTAAGTGGCAACCTTCCACAGAAAGTTGTTGAATCTTTCTTTCCAAGCAACATATCAGGGTTTTACAGCAATTTGGCAAATGCAGCAGTAACATTAGTAGCTTAAGTTGTTCCCCATTCCCCCCACCTCTAGTCTCAAAGGGAAAACCTAACTGGGCTGTGTATTAATCATCCTGAAATTGCACTTTGTAAGATAAGTGGTTCCTGGGGCTGAATTCAGAACTGTGATCTAGTCAAAAGGATGCACATGAATTTCTCCCTTAATTTAGGTGGAGAACATGCGAGCCCATGCCTGGAATTAAGTAGCATTCAGTTGACATGACTGTGGTTTGACCATGCTAAAGACTCTGAAAAGAAATGAATCTCTCCAGGTTTTTGTTCGTAAAAGAGGCTTTCAAACATAATGACATCTCAAAAGGAAAGCGTTGGGCAGTAATTCACTGTTCTGTGCTTTGTTTCTCTGTAAATCAGAAAAACAAGGAAGAAAATCTGGTGCTCTGTATTTGCCAAATCCCATTTCTTGCTTTGTCTTTCACAGTGATGACAACATCACTTAGATCTCCTGAGTTTAGATCTCCACCCAGGTACCTATCAAGAATTCCTTTCATGTGGTCTAGTTGTTTTAAGCCAACAAGGCACTTCCCACTGAAGTGAAAAAGACTCTGAAGAAACCACATTTGCAGAAACCACATTTGCAGCAGCCCGCCTCACCCACATTACTCTAGCTCACTACCAGTCCATCCCAGGTCAGATTTGCTTGTTCTCATTTACCCAACCCACAGAATTGGGCAATACTGATCTCACTGAGCTACCAGCATCCCATAACAGATGTGGATGGTGTTTTTCAGATGTTCTCTTCCCCTACCACATAAATAATAAATCTCTGCCTGCATAAAGCCAGCATGGCAGGGGGAAAAAACTCCTAAGTGACTTGCTTTCTGTATGAAGAGACATGCAATACAAAGAAATGTTCAAACATATGAAACTCTTAAGCTTGAGGAAAAATGTGATTATAGTAAGGTTTGGTTGATGGTGGGGTTATTGGAGACAATGTTTAACCAGAAACTCAGACAACCATCTGTCAGTTTTGCACTGTAGATCCTGTGTAGAGAAAAGGACCTCTGAAAACACCTCCCTGTTCCATGATTTGCCCTCCTATACTCTCCCTAGCTGCTCTACATGACCACTGATCTCAGGCAGTAATGTTTTCTAAACCTTAGCAGGTTGTTTGGATGTGCTGTTATATATTAGAAATAAAAAAGAGGGTGTTCTGAAGTCACTGTTGGTCTTGTCTCTGCTTAGATTGGAGCTTACAGCAGTTTACTCTGAGCCAAGTTCTTAGGTGGGGAGGGAGATAGTTGTAAGTATACATAACGTGATTAAAAGAACAATACTTTATTGGAGGAACGGGTAAAAATGTGGTTAAATCAGGCCTTCCTGATCAAGCAATGGACAATCCATAGCCAGTCCAAAGTGATAGAGCTGTGCTTTCCCAGAGATGGAAATGTGCATGCACTTTTCCCACATGCTGTAATCCAAGGAGAGTTCACTAAGGCCTCATGTCCAAGATACACTCTCCAGGTTCCATCAATGGAAGCCACGTGTCCTAAAATGGATTTCCACATGCTGAGCTCCTGTAATTGCTTCAATGCTTGTTAAGCAATCAGGGCCCAGTTAATTAATCCCACTATCTGCTCTGCCATCAGAGTTTCTTTCAGGGCTTTGCCCTTCTGGTTTTGGCGAGATCTTTATTAACTGGGGCAAAGCTCATCATGGTATCTTTACTAATACTGGGAACACAAACAAGCAAGCTGTTTACATAGGCTTCTTTTCTCAGCCTTTCTCGACATTCCCTTTGCTTGTAAAGAATGTGGGCAGTTGAATCAGCTGCAGCAATAGGTGATAAAGGAAAGGCATTGGTCCCTAGTTTGGGGCACAGGAGTTCCGTATCTCTTCGAGCATTATGATCCTCATCACCTCTATTCCTCTCCATGGAGAGAGGAAGCTGTTCCAGTAACTGAATTTTTCCTCCTGACGATGGCAGTAATAAACCCATCTGGCAGGGTCCGTATGATATTCCAAGCTTCAAAGCGGGTGAGTCCTTGCATCAGATGTGTGTGCACTTGGAGCAACTCATCTCCAGGCTGAACAGGGGGGTTATGTCCCGATGCCATGCCTAACAGATAAGAAGCAAGGTGTTAGTAATCTATGGGAGGGTAGGGGTGGGAAAGATATCAAAGTACACACTGGTCATTTATGGGTACCAAGAGAAGGAAAACAGCACAAGCACTTTGACCATGGAGAGTGGCTCCAACCTGCCAACATGTTAAGAATATTAGAGAAGTCCTGATGCTGGCCCAGGCCTTAGGCTCATCTAGTCCATCCTTCTGTTCCCATATTGGCTAAAAGGTGCTCCTAGGAAGTCACCTGAGCAGGTCATGATAGTAATAGCGTCCTCTCACATGTTTCCCAACAATGGTATTCAGAAGCAAACTGCCCAGAGTCGCTTTTGAGTTGGGTGACATCTAAATCTAATGAACTAACTAAATACATAAATGAACCATTTCCATGTTCTGGAAATAATGTATAGTTTGGGAGGGTCCAATCATCATCATCATTTGTTTCCCAACAATGGTATTCAGAAGCAAACTGCCCAGAGTCGCTTTTGAGTTGGGTGACATCTAAATCTAATGAACTAACTAAATACATAAATGAACCATTTCCATGTTCTGGAAATAATGTATAGTTTGGGAGGGTCCAATCATCATCATCATTATCATCATCATCATCATCATCATCATCATCATCATCATCATCATCATCATCATCATCATCATCATCATCATCATCATCCT